TTACATAAGATCTCTATGTCTAAAATAATTTATTATTATTATTATTTCCGTTAAAGATATGACCCTGGGGCGCGCCGGTCCTTCTACTGCTATTTACAAAAGGAAACCGTACCGTATAGGACCCGGATAAAAACCTCATGTCTACCACTTTGAGACAACAATCTATGAAATCCGTCATACTGCAAAAGAAAGGAGGCCCTTTGCCGGCCTCCGGGCCCTCTAGCCCTCCCCATCCACTGTTTCTAGCTCCAGCCTTCTGGCCAGCCTATACTCCAGTAGCCGGCCAGAGTCCATCAGCCAGCCAAGGACCTTCCTAACAAATCTTCTGCTCCGGGCACCTACTCCCCGTAATACGGTTTGTAGGTCCCGATGTGACCGAATCTCTCTGCCGTCCCACGGCCTTTGTAACGGCGGGTCGGGGCACCAAACCACCAAGTGCTCCACCGTCTCCCTGCCTCTCCCGCACTCGCAATAGGGGGTGCGGACCTCCGGGACTTTCACCCTGAACAGGTAGTCCCGGAGGCCTATATCCCCGATACGGGCCTGGGAAAGGAGGGAGCTCTGCGCCTTTGTAAGACCTTCGTGTCTCATCAGAGCTTTGTCGGTAAACAAGAGGGCTGGGGGGTCTTCGTCGGCTATCCCTCCTGTTTAATACTCCTCATGTCGAGTAGTACTTTGTTTGACCAGCTCTCCTGTTGTTTCCCACCCGGGCCTGCCAGGCCAGTTCAACCACCTTCCCTTGGTATTCGACCTCCCTATCCTTCCCCCCCGATCTTCCATTTTTGTAGTTAACCCACTGGGGCCACTACACTAGCGGGCTAGTTCAGGTGGGCGTGGGGACTCTGCGGGCCCTGACGGGGCCCCCGGCCTCGGGTTTTCCTCCTCTTGTTGAACCTTCGGTAGACCTTATTGCAGGCCTCAGTGATTAGATGCCCCGTGGTTATTCTCTCAGCCTCCGGCCCAGTCCCTGATTGTAGGGCCTGCTTCTGTAGCCGGCCCTCGAAGTCAGCCAGCCGCTTGTTGAGATATAAGTCTAGCGGTGGCACCCAGGCCTCTGTTTCTAGGCACCGAATAGGAGCTGACTTGTATGCCCCTACTACTATTCGAAGGCTCCTGTTCTGAGCTTTTGACAAGACCTTTGCAGGCCCCTTCGGCCCTGTAGCTCTTGGAGCTGTTGGTTGGTGGAAGCTGGAGGCTCCGTAAGCTATGGCACTGCGGATGCACTTTACGTAGACCTCCCGAGCCCTGGATAGGCTCGGGCCCCACGTCTTTGCTGCAATCCTCGATAAGGCGAAATCTTGGGTTTTGAGTTTCCGTTCCGCAGCTTGTTGTCTAAATAATTTATAAAGGTATTATAGCTTATTAAAAAAACAAGTAGTAACCTCCTAGTTAGAGGAAATAGTTAAGGTTATTATAAGAAGTACCCGATATCCTTAGCCTTTAGATTATCTGTTAAGCCTAGACTTTGAGAAATAATTTATAAGGATTATAATATTAAGGATTTTACTCTAGTCCCTATAAGGAACAACCCTAAATTAGTGGAAGCTCGAGACTTAATAATAGATACTCTTCTTTTAGTAACTAGAAGGAAGGATCAATTATATCCCTCCTATAAGTAACCTATAAGTTTTAATTATATCTTGTAACGGGATACAATACTTTAATATAGTAGAAGCTAATATTATTATTATTATTTCTCTTATCATGCTAGGTACTAATTATTATTATTATTATTCATACTCCGCTATGCCCTAGGGCGTGCCGGACCCTCTGCTATTTTAGTGTACAGGAAAACCGTGCGCTCCCAGGCCGGGTGAAAAACCCGTACCAACAATCAAGGAGCGATGCGTTTTAGTGAGCCTACATATACAAAGAAAGGAGGCCTCCTGGCCTCCGAAACGGGGGCGCTTCAGGCCGCCGTTTCCAGCTCGAGCCTCCTGGCTAAGCTGTACATCGGCAGCTTCCCCGTGTCCATCAGCCAGTCGAGAATCCTCCTCGCGAGCCGTGCAGTCGTGGGATTGATACCGTGTAGAACAGAGTAAAAGTCCCGTCGTGTCCGAATTCCAGTCCTCTCCCATCTTCGAGCCAACGGTGGGGCCAAACACCACACTACTAGGTGTTCGGCAGTCTCTCGTCCCTCGCCACACTCGCAGGCAGGCGTCAGAACCTCCGGGACTCCCCGTGTGAACAAGAAGTCCCGTAGGCCTATTGCTCCCGTCCGGGTTTGAATCAGCAGTGAGCTCTTCGCCTTGTTGAGACCGTCATGCCTCCTTAGGATTTCGTTCCGAAATAGCGTCTCCCGCTGATGGTCAAAGTCGTCCGCCGGCCTGGTAATTGCTCTGCCGTCCCGTTCCTTTAACCACCTCGCTCTCCAGGCCTCTTCTACTACCCTGTCCGTATCGACGATTCCCCCCGTCCAGCGCATGACCGTTCCCGCGGCTCTCTCCACCGCCGTAGGCCCTTGAGGTCCCAAGGTTCGCGGTCGGCCCCTGTTGCCCTTCCTTGAGCTAGTCTCTGCTGTATCTTGCGGCAGGCGGTGAGGACAACGCTCGCCGCCGTCTTCTTGCCGCCTTGACCGTCGTCCAGATCGGGTCGTTGGAGTCGGTTTTCGAAATCGGCAAGCCGTTTGTTTAGGTACAAGTCCAATGGTGGGACCCACGTCTCTGTCTCGAGGTTACGGATTGGGGTAGACTTAAAGGCTCCCGCCCTAGGTACTAATCACATGCGGCCCCTCAGCGATTAACTTGGTAGGAAAAACCATGCCTAAGCTGGATGAAAACCTCCGCACCTCCGCCGCTACCCCGTAGATCCATCTCCTCGAAAGGGCTCACCCACCTTCCGAGGTCAAAGTAACGAAATAGATAAAAAATGAGTTGTAACCTCTGTTCCATCGATACCCTTCTGCTACTCCGCTTCGGCCCCGCCGCGGGCCTCCTCGTTGTTCTCATTTTTCAGCTCTACCGCCAGCCGGAACTCGTTTAGCCTCCCCAGCCCAAGTACCCACCCCACCACTATGGCAGCCTTCTCCACGTCATCGAGCCACTCCAGTAGCTCTGCGCCGTCGTCTGGCCAGGGCTGAGGTTTATCTGCGGCTCCGTTGCATTCGAGTACGAGGTGTTTGAATGTCTCGCGCGCCATACCGCAGCGGCATACCGGCGTTACCACCTCGGTGTACCCTCCTAGTAAAGAGGAACCCTCGAAGCCCAATCTTCCCGGTCCTCGCTTGCACTAGGAGGGTACTCTTCGCCTTCGATAGCTCCCAGGCTGGGTCCCTCGACCGGTGTCGGTTCATGATAGAGGCGTCGAACCGCGCGGTCGCATCGGCCGGTTCGAGGGCCCGCCCCGGGTTCCTAGCGACCACCCTAGCTACCTCACTCTCCCATCTTCCAATCCACTCCCTTCTCATTTCCTCCTCCATCCACCTCTCAAGCTGTTTCTTGTGGTTTGGTACTGGGCCGGTAGACACTAGCTCTAGCTCCTCCAGTAGAAGCTAATAGATCTAACTAGTTTAGAACTATCTTTACAACTTTGACGAGATTGGGTTTCTGATGGGCGTCATCTCGACTATACTGGTTGTTACGGGCTCTGAACGGCGTGGCAGACGGAAGACAAGGCAGCCAGGAAACCGCAAATGGTCAACTGTGATCCAGGGTATCAATGCCCGAGGCTGGGCAATCCCACCATTCATCATCGTCGAGGGCAGCTACCACCTCTCTTCTTGGTACGAGAACAGCCGATTGCCTAAGGGCCGGATGATTTTTTTACGTCCGCAAATGGTTGGAATACCAATGAGCTTGGTCTGGATTGGATTAAGCACTTCGACAAGCACACCAAAGCTCGAACAACTGGGGTTTATCGCCTCCTCATCCTCGACGGCCATGGCAGCCACCACTCGCCTGACTTCGAGCTCTACTGCAAGAACAACATCATCACCCTCTGCATGCCTCCCCATTCATCCCACAAGCTCCAGCCAGCCGATGTTGGGTGTTTCAGCCCGCTGAAGGCGGCATACGGCAAGCAGATCGAGGAGATGATGCGGGCAAGCATAACCCACATTACTAAGGAGGACTTCTTTCCTGCATTCCTCGCAGCTCACCAGGCAACGATGACGTACGACAACATTCGGGGAGGCTTTCGAGGTGCTGGGCTTGTTCCTTTTTATCCCGAGGAGGTGATCTCCCAGCTCGACATCCGTCTTAAGACGCCAACACCCCCGAACTCACGGCCAGGCAGTGCCTACGCGTGGGTTTCCAAGACGCCGAACAACCCAATCGAAGCCTCTTCGCAGACCACCCTTATCAAGACCTGGATTGCCCAGCATCAAAATAGCTCTCCAACGTCGCTTTTAGCTGCAGTTGATTAGTTTGCAAAGGGCACGTCGAAGATAATGCATAAGATGGCGTTGATGCAAGCGGAGATACGGGACTTACGAGCGGCGAATGAGGCACTAAGCAAGCGCCGGAGGGCAAAAGAAAAGCGGCTACGGCAAGGAGGATCGCTTACTGTGCAGGGTAGACAGGATTTGCAAGCCCAGAAAGATGTTGAGATGCAGATAAGGGAGGAAACACAGGCGGGGAGTGGTCGGAAGCCGAGAACTGAGACACGCGCGCGGCGTTGTGGTAGATGTGGCGGGCCTGGCCATAATGCCCGCACCTGTCAAGGAGTTACGGAACTGCCTGGGGAAGACGATTCCGAGTAGTATCAATGATTTAGGTTCGTTTTGAGAATATTATCTTGGATTTTGTTGTGGAGGTAACGATTTTTGTGACATTCGCATGTCTGTGACATTCACTTATCATACACGTTAATGCTTTTTGCTATTAAAGGAAGCATTCTCAGTAAATATTATTATTTCCTACACCGATATGCCCTGGGGCGCGCCGATCCTTCTACTGCTCATTCTCAGTAAATAGTAGATAACGTATATTATAAGCGAGCGACGCATATAAGCGAGCGACGCACTTTCTACCACCTTGCAACAACTATCTACAATCACAACACAACAACCCTAGTAACTAACTACAATTACATCGGAAACAGCTGCATCAGAGACCTCTGTAGCCTCCTGGCAAGTACGCGCATTATGGCCAGGCTTGCCACACTTACTACAGCGCCGAACCTTCGCACGAGCCCCCCCTGCACCACTACTATCCGGCTGTGTTTCCTGCGGTGCCCCCTTACCCACAGCCCTCTGGTCCAGTAGATCCTGTGCATCCTGTACAGTAAGTGACCCTCCAAGCTGTACACGTGTTTTTTTGGCCCTCCGTCGCTTGCTCAGTGCCTCGTTGGCCTTGCGGAGCGAAGAGACCTCTGACTGAAGGAGAGCCACCTGGTGCATTACAGCCGTTGTACCTTTGGTAAGCTGGTCAACAGCAGCCAACATTGAAGCTGGGGAGCTGTTTTGATGGCTGGCAATGCGAGACTTAATAAGGTTTTGACTGCGAGCTGGCTTCCTGGGCGTTGTGTGGGGTTTTGGAGACCCAAGGTTGTGCAGTACCGGGCCGTGAGGTCGGGGGTGTTGGTGTACGAAGGCCTTATATCCAGCTTGGAAAGCACCCTCTCTGGATCGTACGGTACAATGCCAGGCTCCTGCAAAGCCACCCTGGATATTCCTCTCTGTCATGGAAGCAAAGAAGGCTTCGCGAAAGGCACAAAGGAACTCGAGCTTGGTGATATGGTTGATGTGTGCGCGCATCAGCTCCTCGATCAGCCGACCGTATGGCTGGCTTCAGTGGGCCCGAAGCAGCCAACATCAAGTGGCTGGCACTTG